GACTACAGGTTGAATAGCATCCAACACCAGCCACAGCTGCCCACATTAGGATGGCCTGTCAGAACTTCAGAGGAGGACAATCCCACCAGTGTGTTTGTTACCATCCCCAGAGGCCAGGCTGGATATTTTGTGTCCTGGCAGAAAGGTCACTGTCTCGTGATCCAAGCACACAGAGTCTCTGATATCTTTCTACTGATAGCTGTGAAAATGGGATCCAAGATGAGTTATAAACCAAAAGCCTCCTGATGAGATTATCCCTGGGTTCCCATTTTTGGAGGCTTGAGTGTCTGAAATCACAGCCAACAGTCCCAAGAAACCCAGGGTTTCCACAGAGCACACGTATCTGATAGTAAAGAATCAGCAACTGATTCTCTGTAAATGTCCAAGTATAAGACAAGCCTGCTTAAACCAACACAGTGCTTCACACAGAGTCTTGAATTCCATAGGTGATCAGTAAACACATATGTGTTTACACAAATATGTGGATGAATGAATTGAAAATGCAGAGTGTCATGAAATGCATGTGTCATCATCTCTTCCTGGAGAAAGATGGGCCTGGACCGGAGTCCCTCTGTTGTCAGGTCTCGGGCTGTGCCTCCTGCTCTCAGCCAGCCTTTTACTCCAGCTGAGGCTGCAGCTCCTAAGTCCTGGTATGTGACTTCACCCCAGCTTTCCTTCTGATCTCTAGCTTTCTGCACACAGCACATCTGGCTTCTCAGAAACATGGGAATGACTTGAGGACCATACATGCATGACCTTGACCTCTGGGAGACTCTGACAGGTGGAGGCAGGAAGCTATGGATAATGATTCCTGGAACAGAAAGCTTGAGGAGAAGAGGGACGGGGGTGGGGGGTAGGGGGACCCAACTCAGACCATGTCCTTACCTCAGCTCCCCAGCTTCCTGGCCGTGCCATCCCCATCTCCCACCCCTGCTTCAGAGGATCACAGATCATAATTAGCCACCAAGGCCCTGCCAGAAACATAAGCCCCTTGTGCTTTGGCTCCACAGAAATCCCAGGCCAGGACAAGAAGTGTCCCTTCCCCTTGCTGCACCAACAGGCCAGCTTACACCCCATCTTCATTTTGCTCTTGGCCTCTTCACTTCCTGACTCCCCACTGTCCCGAGGGACCACGGATATGTTTAAATTTATGCTGTGTTTTCACACATGCTATGTAAGTCATCTGATCCACGCGTGTGAGGCAGCAACTCACTGTATGGGTCTGGCTGGTGGTGAACAGAGCCTAAAATGCAAACCCTCCTATCAGTGTGGTTTTGAGGGAGAAAACTTCGTCTAAAGAAAAAGTCTATTGGGGCTGGAGAGATGGCTCAGTGGTCAAGAGCACTGGCTGCTCTTGCAGAGGACCTGGGTTCAGTTTCCAGCACCCACAAGGTGGCTAACACCTGTCCTTAACTCCAGTTCCAGGGGATCTGACACCCTCTTCTGACCTCCATGGACATTGCATGACATGGGTGTGCTTACATACATGCAGGCAATATACTCATACACATAAATTTAAAATACTAAATAAAATGTTTTTTAAAAAATAACCGGGCCGGGTGTGGTGGCGCACACCTTTAATCCCAGCACTCAGGAGGCAGAGGCAGGAGACCTCTGTGAGTTCAAGGCCAGCCTGGTCTACATAGTGAGTTCCAGGACAGCTGGGGCTACAGGGAGACCCTGTCTCAAAAAGACCAAAAAAAAAAAAAAGGACAGACAGAACCCACCCAGAGCTGCATTTTGAAAAGGCAAAGCCCAATGTGAAGACAGGGTAAAGAGACTGAACGCTACAGGTGTGATGAGTGGACATTCTCAGTGGTCTATGCAGGTGGTGGGTTATTCTGTGTTTTCCTAAGATGTCCCTGTCAGCAGTGTGGAGAATATACTGGAAAGAATTAAGAACCATTGAAGGCTGAAGAGAACATGGTCCTGATGAGCACAGTTCTGTTGTTTGGAACTGTCCCCCCAAAAGTCATTGTGATGGTTTGATGAGAATGTCCCTCATAGGCTTCAAGTATTTAGACATTTCGTTCCCAGTTGGTGGCACTGTTTAGGAGGTCTTAGAAGGTGTGGCTATCCTGGAAGAAGCACGTCACAGGGGGTGAGTTTAGAGAGCTCTTAAGCCTTGCTCTCTTGCTTCCTGTGCCTGTGTGATGATGTGAGAGCTTAGCTTCTGCTCCTCCTCCAGCCACCTCTATTGCCATGCCTCCCTGCCATGATGGACTGACTCTTGCCCCTGTGGAACTGTAAGCTAAATAAACTCTTCCTTCTATAAGTTGCTTTGGTCAGTGTTTTTATCACAGCAACAGAAAAGTAACTAATACATCCATCTATCCCTAACCTGTGGTGTTAACTGGGAGGTGAAGTAGAGTCTAGTAGAAGTTAGGTCACCGGGGGTGTGGCCTTGTGGGTGGCATTGGGACCTTGAACCTTGCTTTGTCCTGCTTCCTAGACACAATAAAGTGAGCAGCTTTGCTCGCTATAAGCCTCCCACCATGATGCTCCAACTTGCCACAGGCCCAATGTGAACCATCATGGACTGAAACCCTAGAGACCAAAATGGCACCTTCTTCTTTATAAGTTGATTATCTCATGTATATTGTCACAGCACTGGAAAGCTGATTAACACACACAACTATGTCTGTTAGGATGGAGATGGGGACAAACACAAAGAATGATGTGGAAATGAAATGGACAGGAATCTTGGACTTGGGGGTTGAAGAAGAAATGGACTTTAGTCCTGTTGAATGCCAACATGCCTCATACAACCCTCAGGCTCTATAGGGTTGGGTTGTTGATGAACAGAGGTTTCAAAGCTGTAAGAATAGTACTGTAGAAGATAAAATCAATATGCAAAGAGCCTCAGCAGGCATGAGGTCTCAGCTGAAGGTCGGTGCCCTAGACAGAAGGGGTGTATGAGGCATTTTGCATTTGCTACCAATCTGAAATGATTGCTAGGCTCATCAGTCAGTTCCTATTGATCAAATTCCCATCTATCCCTCAGACACTCCACCAGCCTCATGCCCCTAGTATCTCTTTGAGTGCTCAACTTTCTCTTCTTATAAGAACAGTGACACTGGGCTAAGGGTCCACGCTGTGCTGGCTGGTTCTGTCAACTTGATGCAATCTAGAATCACCTGGGAGGAGTATCTTAATGAGGAATTATTTAGATCAGATTGGCCTGTGGCCATGTCTGTGGGGGACTGTCTTGATTGTTAATTGATGTAGAAGGGCCCTGCCCATTCTGGGCAGCCCCATCCCCTAGGCAGGGGTTCCTGGACAGTATGAAAGGAAGTTAGCTGAGAGCAAGCAAACAAGGCAGCAAGCAGCCTGCGTACATCTCTCTCTCTCTCTCTCTCTCTCTCTCTCTCTCTCTCTCTCTCTTTCTCTCTCTCTCTCTCTCTCTCTCTCTGCTGTTGACTGTGGATGCCATGTGACTAGCTACGTGGCTTTCTGCCTTGACTTCCCCTCAATAATAGCTGTAACCTGGAACTGTACACCAAATAAACCCTAACTTGCTTTTTGTCAGGACATTTTATCACTGCAACAGAAATGAAATTAGGATATACCTCAACAGCCTCATTTAAAAATTTTTTTTATTTTTATTTTATGTGTATGAGTGTATTGCCTGCATGTATGTAAGTGCACCTGTGTTGTGCAATGCCCGAGGAGGTCAGAAGATGGTGTTGGAGCCCCTGGAACTGGAGTTAAAGATGGTTGTTAGCTGCCATGTGGGTGCTGGGATTCAAACCCTCTGCAAGAGCAGTCAGTGCTCTTAACTGCTGAGCCAGCTCTCCAGCCCCTCAACAGCTTCATTTTAACCTATTTCTTTAAAGACCCTATCACTGAGTATATAACATTTTCAGGTAACTAGGAGTTAGGACTTTACTATATGATTTTTTTTTTAAGAGGACAAAATTCAACCTCTCAAAGAATGGCCATGTGAGGGCCCTTACTAAGTTACGAAGATTAACTAGAAAAAGTTGGGGTACACAGGAAAGGTGGGTGCCAATTTCCACGCTCATGCCATTAGTCAGGAGGGCCCAGGTGGCCCAGAAGGATCTAGAATAGCTAGTCTGAGTCCTGAGGGCCAGGTGGCTTGGTTCTCCCAGGACAAATGCACCTTCCAATCACTTGCCCCCTTGAACATGCACCTGTGGGATCCAGTGATTCAGTTTAGAAACTTAAAATCTCCTAGTGAGCACCACAGTGTGAATATACTTAACACTACTCACCTGTACATTTAAGTGTGTTTAAGAGGGTTAATGTAATGGCGTGAGATTATACCACAATTTTTAAGATTCAATTATGGGTTGCTAATGCTTTCTTGCAGTTGTTTCTAGAAAGTCCGCCTCAGTGACCTGCTGACGGACTACTATACAGGAATAAAAACCTCTCCAGACAAATTTGGTGTCTGTTGCCAAACAAATATGGAAAGCAGAGTCCCAGTTTAGAGAAAAGTGACTTGCTTTGCCTGTTGGTTGCTGCGCCCAACTTTTCCAGGTGCTTCTCTTTGTATTTAATCCCAGTTGACTTGTGATAAAATAAAGGCCCCACCTGTGGTGACGTAACATATGGAGAAAGATGTGACAGAGGATTGCTCTTGCAGAGCCCAGCACTGTTCTTTCCTCCGGAGGCTTTCATTCTATTTGGGAAGTTAAGGATAGAAATAAACCCTAAAAAGCTGGGGTTCATTGACAACCCAGCCCTTTTCCATAAATGTAGCACCCACTCATCATAAAACAGCTGCTCCCTTCTGGAAGTTTATTTCATCACTGAGCTAGCAAACTGATCATGTACACATTACGTGGCTTAACCCATATAAAGAAAAAAATCATGACATCATTTTAATACTGCAGAGATGAAATAATTGGGTTCTGAATTCATCCCTTAAACTGATTGCTAGGCACTGTGCTGGACACTTTAACATATATGGAATCTCATACACACCCAGTTTTTTACTTTTTTATTTTTCAATTTTTAAAAAAAATTTTACCAGAAACTATCTCCAAGGTCTCTTAGGGCAACCCATACATGCAACATGCTGCATGCCCTACTAAGGAGGTTGCTGTTTGCAGCCATTGCACACCAGGTCCCCATAAGGACAGGAACCTGATCAGCTTAACTGGATGCAGTTTCTTTCATTTTTAAAATATTTATTTGGGGGATGGAGAGGTGACTCAGCCATTAAGAGCACTGTCTGCTTTTGCAGAGGACCCAGATTCGATTCCCACCATCCACATGGCAGCTAACAACTGTCTGTAACTCCAGTTCCAAGGGAATCCAATGCTCTCTTCTGACCTCCACAGGCACTGTACAACAGAGGTGCACTTACATACATGCAAGCAATACACCCATCCACACAAAATAAAAAATAAAACAGTTTTTAAAAAGATTTATATCCAATTGTGTATGTATGTCTGTGTATGGGTATGTGCACATGCGTGAAAGTACCTGGAGGCCAGAAGAGGGTGTCAGATCCCCTAGAGCTGACAGTTCTGAGCCACCTAATGTGGGTGCTGGGAACAGAACTTGGGTCCTCTACAAAAGCAGTACAAGCTTTTAACCACTGAGCCATCTTTCCAACCCCAATTTTTATAGCAGCCATCAGATGCTATAGATAGATGATGTGTAAAATTAGGGTTTAGGATCTATTGGCAAGATATTATAATCATTGAGAAGAAATTGAATGTGAAGAACAGACTTTTTGTGCTCCATTGCCTCTTGTCCTGTCTTCCTATCCCATAAAAAACTGGGGCTATGGTCAGATGCTGGTGAGATGAACCATGTGGGCTCTAAAGAGACCCTTAGTGCAGGTGGCTGTGTCAGAGCAGGGGTCTTGATTCCCACGGTAGGGACAGCCTGCCTCTTGGTACAGCACCATGCCTGTAACTCCCAAGCCAGGGAGTATATTCTCTCTTACCACGTCTCCAAATGGAGCCCCTTATCCCTGTCCTTTTATTATTATCATCTATGTGTATATGTGTACACGTGTGTGTACACATTCATATATGTATACACAGATGCATCTGTCCTAGTTTGTCTCTCCATTCTGTAACAAAATACTCTGAGCAATACCAACTTGAGGAGGAAAGGGTTTATTTGGCTTACATCTTGAGGGTCACAGTTCATCAGGGAGCCCAAGACAGAAATTCAGGGCAGGAACCTGGAGGCAGGAGCTGGAGCACAGGCCATGGAGGAACATTGCTTACTGGCTTGCTCCCCTGGCCCCTGCTTAGCCTGCTTTCTTATGCAACATAGGCCCACCTGCCCAGGGGTGGCACCACCCACAGTGGGCTGGGCCCTCCCACATCACTCAACAATCAAGAAGATGCCCCACAGACATGGCCACAGGCCAGTTCAATGGAGGCAGTTCCCCAATTGAGGCTCCCTCAACCCAGGTGTGTCAAGTTGACACACAATGTGAAGGCCAGAGGTTGACATTGAGTGTCTTCTTCCATTGCTCTCTACCTTGTTTTAAGATAGGATCTCTCACTGAACCGGAGCTCACTGATTTTGTTAGTTACAGGGATCGTCCTGTCTCTACCCCCTCCCCCAGCATTGGGGTCACAGGCCCATGTTGCCATGCCCAGTTTTATATATGAGTGGGGATCCAAACTCAAGTCCTCTTGCTTTCATGGCATTACTAAGCCATCTTCCCAACCTGCTTGTCCCTGTCCTTTTAGCCCATAACTGCACTACTGGTCTTAGCAGGAACCAGATCTGAAAATGGCAGCATCTGGCCCCAACAACACCTTCATAACCATTTGGATGCTCTTCCCTATTTTAAAAATAAAGAAACAAACGCTAGATAGAAAAACCCTCTCCATCTAGGCAACATAGTTTGATAAAGATGGTATAATGAGGGGCTGGAGAGATGGCTCAGCAGTTAAGAACACTTGCTGTTTGATTCCCAGCACCCACGTGGTGGCTAACAACTCTCTGTAATTCTAGTGCCAAGGGATCTGACACCCTCTTCTGGCCTCTGTGGGCAATGCACACATGTGGTACACTTACATACAAGCAGGCAAAACACTCAAACACATAAAATAAAAATAATATTAAAAAAAAATGAAAGGTGGGCTAGAGAGATGATTCAGCAGTTAAGAGCACTGACTGCTCTTGCAGAGGACCCAGGTTCGATACCCAGCACCCACATGGCGGCTACGAACTGTCCTTAACTCCAGTTCCAGGGGAATCCGAAGACCTCTTCTGACCTCTGCGGCATTGCATGACCCAGGTGCACTCACATACATGCAGGCAATACAACTCATACACATAAAATAAAAATAATAAAATTAAATTAAAAAGTAAAAGGTAAAAAATATGGCATGATGAACCTAGAGTCTGTCTACTTAGCTGGATGGAAGACGAGAGGAAGAAAACACTCACAAGCATCTACTTGGTGCCCAGTGCCTCTCAGATCCTTGCTCCCACATCCAGATTCACATATGAAGCTTAGCAAGATCTAGTGGCTTGTTCAGAATAATTCTACTCATGAACAGCAAATGCAGAATTTAAGTAGATTGTCTGCCTCGTCCTGTTCCACCTCCATGTTCCACCCATCTCTCTCTCTCTCTCTAACAGGAACCCACTGAAGCTGAGCCAGTCCCCTCCTGTGTTTCTCTAGTCTGCTTCCTGGCCTCAGTCCCATAATGCTGGAATCTGAAATCAGCAAGGGCAGCCAGCGTGCTCCCCCATTTCTATCTTTCTGGACAATTTGTTCCATAACTGCTTGTTTTCAAACAGCTCAACATCGCTTCCCCCAGAGCGCATGCTGCTTTGGGTTGGAGCAACATTGGCTGATTTTCTCAGATCAATCTTTCTTCACTTGTTGAGCCTGTCATAAAGTATTTTAAGGAGCCTGAAAATTATTCTCACTAATAAGCATGTAAGGAATCTGGGCCAGGCTTTCTCTCTTGGAACTTGAGGTTTAGGGCTTCAAATTTCTCACATCACTTGTCTCCAAAAAGTGGACTCACAAGACAATAAAATCATGGACACTTTGAGCTGAGATAATAATTATCTCTTAATAATAACTTACTATTCAATTTCAAATGAATAAATTGAGATTTATATGACAGGTCCAGGTCACCGAGCTCACTGGTGACAGAATCAGGGCTTGTGGACATATTTTTTCACACATAGTTTATATCTCATACCACATTGCTGTCAAGGAATCCAGAATTAGGTGCCCATCCATCCATTATCTATTCATCTATCCTTCTATCCATCTACCTATTAATCTATCCACTCACCCCTCTATCCATCTATTCATCCATCCACCCACCCATCCATCCATCCTCTATCCATCTACCCATCTACCCATCCATCTATCACCTACCCATACCTACCCACCCACCTGCCCATCCATTCATCATCTATCTATTTATGTATTCTTCCACCACCTAGCCATCTACCCATCCATTCACCCATCACCTATCCATCAACCCATCTACTTAATCATCTATCCATCATCACCTATTTATCCATACATCCATCAATCTGTCTACTCCTCCATCCTTCCATTCATCCATCCATCTACCATCCATCACATATCCATCCACTCATCTACCTACCCATCAATCCATCATATATCTCTCCATCTATCCATAAATCTGTCCATCTACTCATCCATTCATCCACCACCTGTTCACTCATGCACACGTGCATGCATCCATCCATCTGAAACGCCACTGAGAAAATGCAAAAAGCATTTCTATTCCAATAGGCAGAGTTTTTCCAATTAAAAATATTAACACAAAGAACTGTTAAAAGGACTGATTCATCCCAGAGTATTTGGCATTATAAGGTTAGTAGGATATCTTCAGTGTTGTAAAAATATTTACTGTTGCAAAACACGTGCATGAAATTGTGCCAGGGACAGTCATCAGTCACAGTGTGGTATTAGATGGATTCAGATTCAGCCTTTGGTACCAAAAGAAACAATTTTGATGACAGCATTTAACATGTTGTAATAAAAAGATCACTGCATGTATATCATGTTTACAGTTGTTAAAACCTGGCAACTTTGTGTGAAATGCAAAAAGTTAAATAGAGGAAATAGATTTGGAATGTCGTACTCAGAGTTGGGTAGGTCCTTAGACACAGTTAAGTTGGAAAGGAAGGAACAGCTAACTGGGATCTAATCCTGACCGTTACTAACCTTCTTCATAGTCTTCAGCTAAGGAATTGTCTGAGTAATTCACTTTTCATCTAAAAATGGAATTAATAACATCTAACCCCAGAAGGTGTGTGAGGGCTCAAGAAAAGAATGAACTTTAGTTAAGCGCCTACTATGAGCCAGGCACTATATTTTATGTTTTATGTAGATTTTATTCCATTTGAAGAAATCAGCTATGTGGGGAAAAGACTTTGCATCTATTACAAAGCCACACTCAAATCCAAGCTAATGCTGATTGCCAGTAGCATCCTTTTGATGACACCCTCTGCATCTGAGGGCTCACCTTCCTTCACTGATTATCATATTTGTTGGTGATAATTAGTATTTCAACACAAAGCAAAGCACTATCCTGAACGCTGCCTACTCCATACCCTTGGCCAGCATCCTATCCTCGTCCATTTGTACTGAGGCTGATGAGAAGGTGTGGATTCCCACTACTGGCCCATGGCAGCCAGGCCCCGAGATGAAGTCTTGTGGCTCCATGTCAGGATGTGCCTCCCCACACCTGCATCCCATATCTGTGGCTTTCTTCAACCTGGACACACAGTTCTTCATTCTGTTCAGCTTGGCGGCCACAAGGAAAGCTCCCCTAGGGCTTGGTAATCACTTGGTGCCTTCCAAAGAGACCCAGAATGCTGTCTTCTTCTAGTCACCTCTGTTAAAGCAACCATCACTCTCACCATCCCTAAAACTGCCCTTGTCCTCAGTGGGCAGGTAAAATGCTGGCACCTTGGCCTTCCACGTTGGTTCTACTTTGGTAATCACTGACATGCCTAGGATTGGAGCTGTGCTTGGAAGCCCTTGCCTTCTGCATGAGTCAAGATGTCTAGACCTATGAAAGATGCTCCCTGGCTGCCTGCCCCCACTTCCTCTCTCTGCTTTAAGTCTTGGGTCACATAGTACTGCTGAAGAGTTGTGCTGATGTGGTCATTTCCTGTGCTGTTTGAACAC